CCCTTCGTCAGGCTAAGGAAGTTTCAGCAGTTGGTGTGCGCTCTTCCGGGATGGAATGAAAAGTAAAGAAGCCAGGGGCTGGGCTGGGCTGGGGAGTCAGTTGCCAGGCAGATTATAATGTATCAACAATCCAATGTCTATGTTTAGTCCCTGATCTCTAGTATCCAGCAGGTTGATGAAATGGAGCTCATAGGCTTGTCTCTGGGAAGTGTTGTGTAAGTTTCCCTTGAGGATCATTACAATCTGCCTGGCAACTGACTCCCCAGCCCGGCCCAGCCCCTGGGGGCTTTTTACTTTTCATTCCATCCAGGAAGAGCACACACCAACTGCTGAAACTTCCTTAGCCTGACGAAGGGTTTTTGAACCCAAAAGCTTGCTTAATAACTATTCTCCAACCATTTGGGTTGGTCTAATAAAAGATATCAAATTCACCCAAGGAACCTTGTCTGCCTATGTCCTTAGACCAACACGGCTACAACCTAAACCCCTGCTACAACTAGTTATACATCCTAAAATGATTTCTTTTAGTGCCCAATAGATGGCAGTGATGTTATAAATGAATAGTAAAAGTGTTGCTGAAATGTGCCCTAGGCCTAAAAAAATCTTGTGACCTCAAAGCCAATTCTACTAATGTTAGTACTCCTAACACATTTTTTATTTTTTCACAATATACAACATTCAGGAGTTTGTCCTGGTGTCTGGGTACTTCATAAATAGACAGATTTCACAGACTTTCATGCCATTTAATTGAAAATGTTATTCTGTTGGTCAAATGATATCACATTTTACAGTTATAAAATGTAATATTGCTTATTGTAAAAAATGTAAATGGGTGAAAATTTCTCAGTTGAGTACATGCTGGTATTTTCTTCTTCCCAAAAGAAAGCCTTAAAACAAAACCCAATACATATATTAAGGATGGATGTAAACCTATGATCCACATATATGCATAACACCACCATCAAATCAATATTTGGCATGACTGTTGTATATTAGAGTATGTTTATATAATGCTAAACTCCTGTGTACTTTTCAATAGTATGTTTTTGTTATTTAGCTTGATGACTGCAAATAAAAAATTATAACAGTTCTCAGTTCAGATCAGAGCATCATTGTAGATTGTGTAAATCATCCAACTAATGAAGCATTTGACATTGCTATTTTTTCCTATGCCAGTGTGTTGCATTTCTGTGAATGGAGAGCTTTGTCTTGCTAATGTAGCTCAGTATGACCTTTAGTTATTAGCAAATGTCTAAAACCTGGAATATTTTTAAAAATTAGCAACAGTAGTATTAGATGCATACTTGTAAAGGTCAAAATAAAGGTCCATTTAAATTACACTTTTCTTAGGGAACCAGGTGACTCAGAATATTGGCAATGGAATGTCAAGTCTTTCCTTTCTGGATCATCAATTTAAATATTTCAAAGGCTGGAGTGACCAATTTATCTAACTTTTTTATCAGTTGATAGCTGTTTGGGGACTTCAGTTAAATGCTTAGCTAGTCTCTGTCCAGTTTCTAATGAATAGGTCTTCTAATTACAAATCCTGCCCCCTCCCCCACCCCATTCTTGACACCTTTATTAGCTGTCTCAGCAGAGCAGCAAAGGATTGATTAAAGGAGGATACTGAACTATCCTTTCATTGCTGGAGCTAGGTCCCTTAAGGTCAAGGCTGATACACATTAGTGGGGCAGCATGAGGAAGACAGCATTGTCCATTGCCTGCACGGAACCTGTACTGTGGATCAGTGGAAGGCTCTATTCTTCACAGCCAGCAAAATATTTTTGAGAGAATATTAATTCCATAATTTATTTTGAACAGCATTCTCTGTCATATTGAATGAAATATATGTGATACTTCATGATGGTGTATCCTTAACAAAAAAGGTATCAAAATATGCAACATCCAAAATCCATTTTCCATCCTGTAATGTGTAGTTTACACATTGAAAGGACAGAGCAAACATCCTGCAGCTCATGCAGATCATAAAAGCATTCTACATAAGATGTGATAATGTAGTGTGTGTATATAATTCTAATAAAATTAAATGTTGTGACCTAGCTGACTAATGACTAACCAAAAATATCTGAAATAAAAATCATCAGTTGTACTCCTTTAAGTTAGTTCTTATACTGGTCTTGTCACATAAGATTTATATGTTGCCATTGGCTTTATGATTTAACACTCTGGGGGGCTTATAAGAAGGGTCTAATATACAACCAATACAATAGTTTTATTCTCATTATTTCCAGTTGGGATTAGAATCTTCTGAAAATCATTATACAAAAACTTCACATCATTATAAAGATATATCAACATTTTTATTATATATTCCTATTTTAACCTTTTATAAGAAAGATCAAAAAGAAACCTATTCTAGGATGAAATGTGGTCTACAGTTGGTCAGACTGGAATAAATTATTTTCAAATTGAAAACCTGGTTTAATGCTTTCTGATGAATATGAATGCAAAACAAATATGGTCCAGATTCTCAGCTAGTGAGCTAGAACTTTGTCAATTTGTCAGCTGAGCCTTTGTCCTTATATACTCATTTATCAGGCTTTGGCTCATCTCTAAATTATTAATACCTTTGATTTAGAAATAAAGTTTAGCAAGTCATACACAACATACATCCTCTATGCATATTTAAGGTCAATTATTAGTCCCTCATGTCCAGAGTAGACCTAGATTGTATGGTTTATTTACACTGTGCTTGATGCAGCACTGTGAGAAGGAAAAGAACCGAGTAGATTTAAGCCACTTTCCCCTGATCCTTTACCTGGCTAGCACCTGATTTGAGCAACCAGAAGGCTGCCTCTGACTCTTAGAGACCACAAGTCTGAAAAGACATTCTGGTATCTCCCTGGCACTGGGGACTGAAGGAGGCGGCATAGAACTGATACATTAGCTCAACATCATCAATGGATTTCACTGCATGGGGTGAATTTTCAACAAGCTGGACTACGCAAAGCAGCTATAGCACGGCTGAAAGTTTGATCCCTAGAGCATGTGTACATGAAATAAGGGGCATGTGTGCACAACACTTTAAAGCAGGTTAAATGCTTTTGCACCATTTTAGTGGTGTTGGTGTTTACACGCATCACTGGCATATTGCACATTAATTCCAGTCACTGTAGCACATCCAGCAGTGTCATGCGCCTTAAATGACTTTGGGGTGCAGCAAACTAAAACACCTGCGAGGAGTTTTAGTTTGCTGCTCTACCACTGCGGATTGAAGCACCGGGCTCCGTGCAGCTCAGGGGCTGTGCAGACAGCCTGGCAACAGCCCGGGAAGGCATGATCCACCAAAGGAAAAAGAAAAAAGCGGCAAGCCTGATCTTTTTTTTTTCCCCCTGGAGCCTGCTTGCCTGCATGAGCTGCACAGGGACCCAGTCCTTCCCTCTGTGATGAGGTGCCCTCTGGGACTGCCCGAGCCAGGTGCCTGTGGGTGGGTGCCGCTGGGGGAGGGCGGAGGGGGGCTGCTGCGGTGGGAAGCACCAGATGCCCCCACCGCAGCCCAGGGACCACTCTGCCTGCCAGCAGTTCTCCCTCCCCTTCCCACTGCCGGAGAGGCAGGTAAGACATGGGTGTACACAACACGGGGGGTTACTTTGCCCTACATTGAAGCAGTGTTTTTAAAAACCCACCGCTTCAATTTAGGGCCCCCGTTTCTATACACGCCCTTAGATTCTAATACGCTGCTCTTTTATTGTGCGTACGTCTCTTACTGACATTGACTGGACACATGCACACTTAGGAGAACAGAATATCATAATGAAAAGCTACTGTATGAATCTGAGAACAGATTATTGTCCTCTTGTGGCAAATTACAGTTCTGTATGGTAATGGTAAATTACTGCTATTGGCTATTAATGCTGAGTCAATTATTTGTAACAAATAATTCATTTGGTGAGTTATGCCTGATTTTCACCACACAGACTATCTGTGAACAGGTCATAATTACCTTGAGTGTAACAATTGTTTGTACGTATCCTAAGAAACTTTTGGGGAGTTTTATTTAGTGTATGGCTTGTCATTTGATTAGTGTTATTTACTTGTGACTGTTCATATTATGTCTCACAGTTTTGGTTTTGTTCCTTGAAAGGATTATAAACACTTACAGAATGCACATTTAAAATTCTTTTTCTCCAAATACACAAGCACACAAACTTAAAATATCATGTTTTACCAGTTCAGAAATATTCAGAGAAATCAAATACAAATGTGGCATGAACATAACCAAAGCAAAATTAATTAAAATTAAAACATGTTTATTGATAAATGTTTGCAATATTGCCCAATTTCACAGCTTAAATGTTCTGAATTCCCTGTCAAAGTACTCTGGAATTACTCTGATTTGTCTGCATATTCATCAACAACTCTGATACCAGAATTTAGCTAATTATGATTAAATGATTTTAGAATCTATGGTGAAATCATCCATCTTTTGTTACTTGAGTACTGCAATTACATTTTTGCTGTCTTTAGAAAAAAGTAACACTAATAACATTTTATATTCTTGGGAAGGTATAAGAAAGGAAAAAGGCAGAAGTGATCCTTAGAATGTTTTATGAAAATATTTTCTGTCTCAGAAAATGGCTTCCAAAGGTTCTAAAATGTTGCAAGAAACCTCAAGCTTCAAAGAACATCTTACTGATCTTAACTCTTCAAATATATGCAGAGGTTCAAGCCCTTGGATTATTAATCATGTATTCCTTATGTTCCTCACAAACACTACTTACATCTGTGCTGTAATTACATTGACTTCATATCTCTCTCTGCCAAAGCAAAGGATACCAGAGGATTTGTTACAGCTATGGAAAGTAACCTGTTCTGGTTAATTGGTTGAAGAACTCTGGAAAAAGAGCTAAAGCAAAACTGAAGCAATAAATCAATCTTGGGGGTTAGATAGTAGTTGGAGGGGCGGGGGTTAATAATCAAAACATTGTTATTTCTCCAGGTAAGCATTTTATACAACATTTGATTCACTGTACACTTACCTTGCATTGCCAGGGTTGGCTGTTGTCAGATTAGCCAGAGCCATGGCTGCAGCTTCTTTTACCTCTTCATTGTCACTGCTTAGCAACTGAACTAACTGGGGAATCCCTTTGAAAAAGATATAATTGTATACATGCAGCTTTAAATTAGCCATGGTAAATTGCAAAGTGGCAGTATGCTCCTTATAGAATGGAGCCTACACATTCTAATTCCAGCTCCTCGCCAGTTTACTCACCTTGGATTCCAAATGCATCTTTGCTAGCAAGATTCTCACACATAGCAGAAATAGCTTGGGATACAGCTGTCTTTACTCCATCATTATCAGTTCCCAAAAGGGTTATGAGGCATTTTTCAACTTCTTGTTCATGTAAAATTTTTCTATTTTCAGCTTTACATAAAACAAAAATAATAACAATATTAATATTCATAGAAATGGGACTTCATGTGACAACAAGATAACAATTTGACCTTGTGTTTGCTTCTTGCTCTTGACACAAACATGAGAGTAAGACATGATGTGCAAGTCTTGACATTATGCAGTGGCACTTATAAAATATACACAAAAGAACTGAGCCAAGGATCATTGAAGTCAATGGAAAGTCTATCATTAACTTCAGTGGGCTTTGAATCAGGCCAAAAAGATGTATTTTAACTACTAAATTTAAACACAAATAGCTTAATACAATGAAAAGTTTGTTCCCAGAAGTTTATCCGCACTTCACATTTTCTCTATTTACTCAAATATTACTCAGTACAGCATATAGATTTCCCTCAATGCATAATAATAGAAGTCATGCACAGGAGATTTATAAATAAAGAAATAAAAGGTACAATTCTCTTTGTTCTGTGTACCTTGCCAGTAAGTTGTGCATGGACTAAACAAAGGTGACTCTGGTTTAAAAAGTGTATTTTAGATACTGCACGCAAATCACACATCCTTCTTAAAGCATACCTAGAAAGAACATTTCAAAAGACATCACACCTAGTAACTTAGAGCTCAGTTCTTCTACACACTACACTGAATTGTGAGACCTAGGAATTGTGGGACATAGAAAATCATTTCCTATTGTACATGAAGTACCACAGAATCATTCCACAGCATTTAAAAGAGGGCTTATTATTACATTGTTAGATTCATCCACCCCAGTATGGTCTGAAGTTTATAGGGCATATCCAGCTCCCTCCTTCACCCAGCTAGTATGCATGTTGCTGCCAACTGCCTAGTGCTGGGTAATCAGAAATTGCACACCAGGGTGGATCCTCCTCAGTTGCTCTGCTTGCAGGAGGACTTCATAGCAAAAGCTCCAAAGGGAAGCACATCTGCTGCTCTTCCTCTAATTATGAGGGCCTGCTTAAAGAGGGGCATAACTAAGAAGTCAAGTAGTTCCAATGCAAGTGTGGTTAAAGTGATACAGATGTAGTAACATTTTCAAAAATACTGAGGTGACCTAGAAGTTAAAGTTTTCAGTGAGACTTCTACAATTTTTGACAGTATCTCTCAAGTACTTTTCTGGTTCAGAACCAAGGGCAGTACTTGACTGTGAATCTCTGATCTACCAGAAAAAACAGCCAAATACTCTTTATAATAAAACTGAACTTCTGTGATCACTTTGGCTTGGCTACCAAAAATCTCTCATATTGGGCATTAAACCAAGAAACTAGATTCAAGTCAGTTAAAACAGAAATGGTTCAGGGCATACATACGAGAAGGCTGTTTTCCCTTTTCCAGACAGTTTCTAATATACATACACTCAAAATACATAAGTTAAATCACAAAAATATAAGACACAAAAATAACATATTTAGCAGAAGCAGAAACAAACTTGGCTATTATATTTTTGGTTAGCCACCAAGTCTCTGGAGAGGGCATTAATTAGGATTACAGACTGGTTTGACAAGCAATAGACTTTGCCTCTGGCCTGTTGCTTGCCAAACTAGTCCATAATCCCTAATAATGCTCTCTAGGTGGTCTTCTGGCTTCAGTATTTTTTTTATGTAGAAAGAAAGTCATTGGAATACATGTATTTCTTTAAAATAGCAAGCTTTGCCTTGATATTTTCCAAATATCTTGTTATTTTTTTCAAATGTCATTTATGATCTAGGATGTCATTTAGTAATTTAAAACATATTTCCTGCCTTTATGAAGGCAAAATGTGAACAATAATACCATGCAGTATTTCCCTTTAACAAGCAGAAGCAGTCACTTACAGTACGTTACAAAAAATAAGGAACTTTTCAATTATCTAGAACAGCAGATTTTGATGTGAATTCACTGTATATAGTGCATACCTAAAGAAAGGCATTGCCATTAAGTTCCATCTGCCAATTCTATGTAA